GGCCTTCACCGCTTCCTGGTCCTTCTCAAGTATTTCGAGTTCGGCTTCCTTTCTAGCATTCGGGTAATCTGAGGTAATAACACTACTCCACGGTTTCGTATGATTGCTGAATCTGCCTCTCCTCTGTGTGTTCTTCAGCAAGTGCTTCTTTCCTCCCTGAAAACCTTCATTTGCAAACTCCCATTGATCCGAATTGATCTTCCTAAAACCCTGCGACATATCTTGCGTCAGAATGCATGAAGAGTAGAAGATAGGAGGTAGCTAGGTCTAGGAGTTCATATTGAACCACAAATACTAGTGCAAAGAGTCTGCGGGCTATCTTAAGGGAAAACGCAAATGTCACAAAATCAACCTGTCTAGTACTACATATGTATGAACGCAACAGTGCAGAGCTATGCTTTTGGTCTTTGCCCAAAAGAAGAGAGGTGTCAGAAAGCTTTACCAAAAACCGGATCAGAACAAAGTGATGACCAAGGAAACTCCTCTTCAGTTTTATAATGCACAATTGAGCATCAAAACAGCAAAATGCAATATACTAACATTTCTGAATCCAATCAAATTGAATATTTAAGAAAAGAACTCAAATACAAATCCAGTGAGAAGATAATCTTATGGGGTGTTCTGATGTCATAGTTGACATGGTAGTTTCTGCAAACTATCATCTAAAGCATCATCACTTGAGTATGATGACGGGCCGTTGTCCCCTGGCCACTGGATGTAAATTTTGGTGAACATGTGCCACACGATTCGTGTTATTTCATATAGAATCCATGTATCTCGCCCGCCATTCCAAATTTCTTCGTTCCTCGTCCCCTCAACTAGGGTAGAGCACAATTAATAACCGAGCAAGTGGGTTAAATTGAATCTCAACACCTGAGCAAACGACGTGAGTGGAGTCTCTTGGATCTAGCCTCTTTGTCCCGGGGATTATCCATTGGGACGATGAAGAGTGGCTGGATGCCCCAAGAGGATCACTCTCTGGAAGACATCAAAAAACAGAACTGAAACAGAGTCAAAACCAAAATAAACATACACAAACACTATACACATTTATACGAATAGTTTGCTCTTACCTATGGAGAAAGTTTCAAGCAAAAACATGGACAAAAAACACAATCCCATTCGAAGGGAGTACCTGCATAAAGATGTGAATTAATTAGCTTATTTTTTCTACTGCATGTACATAATTTTTTTCAACATAGAAACAGCTTAGAAAGCAGGAGACTGCATTCCAAACAAGAGGCTCAGATGAGGGCATCAACAAGCTCGAGATCGGATTTGATAATCACTGCCCCATTCTCCTATTTTAATGTACCGAATATAAATCCAATGGCAAGATCTGAGAACCTTTCCTATTCATATCAGTAATTAATAGATATGATGACACTATAAAAGCCTAAACTCTTCCATGATATTTAATATGGTACCTAAACCCCTATTTCCTTTCAAATAGAGTAACTGAACTTTTCAAATCAAGCTCAGTGTCATGGTTCTCTTAAGTTGAGCGCCATGTCCCATGTATGTCGACATGGACGGACAATTTATACCTCAAAATTATGTAGTGGACAACCATGTCGTTCGTTTTTTCTAACTTAGTAGTGTTTCGCCGGAATTTGATCGACAACTAAATGTATTTTACCGAAATTTGTTCATCGGTTTTTATTAAGAGAGATGGGTTCTATGGCAATTCCGAACAAGAGTCTTATCAATAGAGCGCAAGGAACAAATATGCTTCAATGGAATTCAATGAACGATAAAGTGCGATGATATAAAAAGTTTTTCGGAATTTAATCGATGACAAAGCGTGATGACAAAAAGATACAACATCGAAATTTAATTGAAAACGAAGATTTGAAAGCTAAGATACACGCCGGAATTTAATCAACGACTGGAAACTACATCAAAGGTACAAGAATTGAAGTAAAATTTTGAAAAATAACAAGTTTTTTTAATGTTTGTTAGAGGGCCTTTGCGAAGAGTACAATGTAGCTATTTAAGCCTACAGTCAATGGTTAAATAAGGTTATTGAATTTAAAAAAGATAACTTCCTAATACTATCTTTAAAACAAATAACTTTCTAATCCTATCCACGGTTACAAGAAGCTACGTTATCCACAATTTTCTATTATCTAGTAACACTTATCTAAAATAGCTTACATATAAGAAAATATCGCTACTTGGCAATTATACGTCGATGTCGATGTCGATGACTTCATCCCCACATAACTGATGTTTGTTGTCAATAACTTACTTGGTTGTCAATGCTTTTCAAGTTGTCAACTATTCTTTTCATCGATGACTTCTGCTATTTACCAAATTGAACTGCTATTATTGACTAGGTTTGTTACTTGTCTATTATAACCAAGAGTTCTTCATTGTTTGGTGTCAGCAAGTAGAATAAATCTGCTCTTCATTTTGTTATAATCTTCCTTATCTTATTCTTGTTTCTTGCTTCCCTTCTTATCGGTGACCATTGCCTTGGTCGTCATGTTGACCCAAAGTAATTTGCCACCATCACCACTGGCATCACCTTGATCTAGGGGTGTCAAAATTGAATCGGAAAACCGAACTGAAACCGAACCGAATTTTCGTGCATTTTCGGTTTGGATAATGGAAAAATAACCATTCTTTTTTTTCGGTTCAGTTTATTTCAATTCAGTTCGGTTAACAGAACTGAAAATTGCCCCTCTTCTTAAATTAGCAATTTACATAATCTCTCTCTTCTTTCTCAACCCTCTCAAAATCGCCATTGAGAAACCCTAAAAATCGATCATGGACCCTCATAGTGCTCTACCTTCTCCCGAGTTTATCCCCAAATCAGTAGCCCCCTCTCTCTGTTCTCCCCATTTCTTTTCCCCTTCCCCTAGCACTCACCCTTAGTGTACGACGTCTTCCCTCAAATCGACGGTGATTGGAAATGCAGACCGACTGTTGATGTGCACTCTATGAGATATCAGCTTTCAATTCGTTGATTTCGCTTTCTTTTATGTCGTGCGATTCGTTTTAGATTATGGGTTTGTGGGGGATTTGTTTGGTTCCGCGAATCTGTGCTTTATGGAGAGAAACCCACCTTCACTCCTTCTCTTCTCTGCCGTGTCTTTCGGGACTCACAAGACACGGCCAAAATTTAGGGTTCTCACTTCCAGAGTTTGAGTCCGTAACCAGTTTTCGCTCGACTCTAGATTTGAGTAGCTCGAGCTTAGGCACTTGAGCACTATTTTAATTCCCCTCGGTTTCGCTCGCTTTCAGATCCCTCCCTTTGTTTTTTCTGTTGAAAACTTAGTAAGATTCGTTGAGAGGTTATGCATTTTGTTGCTCCAGATGCGCAGGCTCCTTAATCAAGAGCAGTTGCCTTGGTGTTCGTTTTGATCTCTGTTTGAGCAATTTTGGTATAGATATGAGAACCCGGGAAAAAAACCTGAAAAACCGAACCGAATCGAACCGGATTTTCGGCATAGATCATATTCGGTTCGGATCACGTTTTGGTTTGGAGCAAGCACACATCCTGACAGCTCGGTTCAGTTCGATTCAGGTTTCCTAGAAAATCGAACCGAACCATTGACACCCCTACCTGGATCGACTCTCTTTCTAATCACAACCACTCGCCTATTTATGTGTCTTGGATCACCTCCAACAAAGGTCGCAGCCTTGAATTGATAACGATTGGAGGTTGCCCATCCCCAAGATGTAAGGCCACAATTTAAGGTGGAGGTGACAACCCAAATTTGTGGCGCGACCACCTCAGATTTGTAAGGGATAGAGAGATGATATGGGGATGCTCGTGATTGAGCTGTGGTGGTGGTGTCAACACTAACGGTGCTAGTGGCGGTGGCAATGTGGTGTTTGTGTTGGTGGTGTTCCCGAGCTGGCGACGGTTGAGTTTCGTGGTGGTGTTTGCCTTATTAGTACTGTTAGTGGTGGTGGTTGAGTTCTAGGTGGCTGTGTTGGTGATGAACAACTCTCATGGTGTTAGCGGCGGCCCGCTGCAGTAGGGGGACAGTGTGTGGCGGGGGATCAGAAGCTTGAGCCTCAATTTTTTTCTAATATTTCTGCCCGTATTTGCTTATCCACGATGGCATCCACGTCGGCAAAATTTTATCCACGTCACACTTTTGGGTCCTCCAACAGCCACCACAGTTGGATTTTGTTGAAGGGACTTGGTTAGATATCTTGTGCAAGTAGAAGGGCTTCATTAGAAAAATAAAAAATATAAGGACTTGATTAGAAAAAAAGCATAAAAGTATAAGGACGAATATTAGAATTTGTCCAAATTTTAGTAACGATAGAAATTGATATTCATGAATAATTTCGAAAATATTTATCTATATTTTTTTTTCTGAAAACGATTGCTTGAAATAATTAGCAAATGAAAAATATTTTCGTTATCGATAATAATTTACATCTAAACATTTTTGTGAACGACGAAAATATTTTTCATTCATTCATTTTTGTAAGCTATACAAGTGATTATATTTAGGAAAATGTTATTTATTTTCCGCGAAACAACGGATGTTGGAGTTAAAATCCCAAATATCAGTAAGTGAAACCTTTAAAACAACAAATTCCTTCTTTTTTACATACCGTGTTCAGGATAATTGGACCATGCGCTGAGTGCCTACATTACTCTAATTTCCCGGTTAAGCATGGAAATGCCAACTTCATCAAGAAAATCACTCCCACCCATATGGGATTTTGACATTTTTATAGTCTCTAATGTCATAAGAGATTGTACATGACATGCCAAATTGATACGGAATACTGTAATGGATAGACATGCAATATCATGACCTTGTTATGTCTCAAGCCATTCTTAATGGTCGGATGTCCCGGCAATCCACTTTTTCTAGGTTAAAATTGGAAGTTGCTCATATGCAGTTATTTCAAAAAGCTTCAAGTAGTTAATAAATCATTGGGAAAATAAGTGACATAGTACATATCATCCTTGCAAGAGAAATATAATAGAGAACTTGCTACACAAGCTGCAACAAAAGACCAAAATGTCAGTAAGGGAAGCATCCAGGATCAACTAGCTCTTCCAATTTTACGTCCTCCAACGTGCTTATCATGATTGATCTACGCGCCGATATCTTTTGAGATACTTGTTGCATGCTTGGACGATGCTCTGGTTTTGCACTTAAGCACAAAAATGCCAGCTTTACAAAGAAAACCACTTGCCCAAGTACCTCACCTTCTGGGGATGGAATTCTTTGATCTAAAACTTGTTTTAGTGGCCAACTTGATGCTGTTGAATTGCTTGTTGATGAAGAAGATGAGGAAGTCAGAGACGAAATGAAATCGCCCGGATGTCTTCCCATGATTACTTCCAATGTCACCACTCCAAAGCTATAAACGTCGCATTTCTCCTTAACCTTCATCGTGTATGCAAGCTCTGCAGAGGGAAAACAACAATTTTTTTTCTACTTCTTATTAATGCTATTTTTTGGCCAAATTCTTTGTGAAGCTATTTAATCGATTGTTTTTATTGAAGAAACCAAGTTACCTGGAGCTGCATATCCAATGGTGCCTGCAAAGGAAGTCCAATTGGATGAACAAGATTCTAGAACCTTAGCCGTGCCAAAATCAGAGACGTGAGCTTTGTACTCTTCATCTAATAAAATATTCTTGCTCGATATGTCTCGATGAATTATGGGAGGAGAACATTCATGGTGCAAGTAGGACAAAGCATAAGCCACCCCTTCAACAACATTCACTCTCTTATGCCAGTCAAATGTTATTATCCTCTGTTCATTGTTCAATACATTCTTCAAGCTGCCACATCCCAAGAACTCGTACACCAAAAATGAATGTCGAGAACTCCAGCAAAAGCCATAGAGCTTGACAATATTCCGATGCCGAGTTCCGATCAAAGCATGAACTTCCCTTTCAAATGCTTTTCGACTAGCCATTTCAGCGTCCACTACTTCTTTAAGTTTCTTCACAGCAACAGTCTCTCCTGTTTGTAACTGGGCCTTGTAAACACTCCCATGTCCTCCCACACCGATGCAATATTTGGCATCAAACTCCCCCGTGGCTTCAATAATGCTCTCATAAGCCATTCTTCCATCAAAGCTCCATACTGCCCACGGGTTTTCATTGCTTCCGTCAATCGAACTAGCCTCTATTTTCCTTACTCTTTGGCAGACAATACATGAAGCTCCCATGGCAAAAAGCAAAGAAAGTAGGCAACCTAAAGTAGGAATCAAAATTAGCAGCAACTTTTTGTTTTCGTTTTTGCCTTTCAACATTGTTGCCGTACATGCGTGGAGACTAGCAATAACTCCACACAAGCCTTTGTTCCCTCCCACAACGTCATTTGTGGCATTACGGAAGCCTGGAATGTTCGGTATAGGTCCCTCTAACTCGTTATATGATATGTCGATGGATGTCAAGCTTGCCATATCCTTAAAGGTCGATGCGATTGAACCCGAGAGCTGATTGTGGGAGAGGTTGAGTGTTTCCAATTTTTGTAGTAGCCCAAGTTGTCCGGGTATTTCTCCCGTAAGCAAATTTTGACTTAGATCGAGAACTTCAAGAAATTGAAGCTTGCTGATCTCGACGGGAATACTTCTAACAAGACTGTTTCTGCTTAAATTCAATAACTGAAGCTTCAAACAATCCCCAAGTTGTCTAGGAATTGAGCCACTTAGGTTATTTCCGGCCACATTAATTCTTGACAGATCAGACAATGTTCCAAGTTCTTGAGGTACGTAGCCTACGAGATGATTGTCATTGAGGGAAAGCTCTAAAAGTGACTTCAGTTTTCCTAGGTCTCCTGGAATTTTCCCAACAAGACTATTTGAAGAGAGGTCAAGAATATGTAATCGGCTCATGTTGCCAAGCTCAACGGGAATCATGCCTGAGATGCGAGTGTTGGAGATTTTCAGGCTAGTCAAATTGCTATATTCACCCAGTCTAGGTGGTAGCTCACCGTATAGTTCATTGTTGCTTAACTCAAGATAATCTAAGTTAGGGTATGTGCCGAGATCCTCGGATATATTTCCCTTGAGCTTGTTGTTTTGGAGCCTAACTCTATACAAACTCGGGCAATTTTTGAGGCCTCGTGGAATTGGACCAGTGAAGTGATTGTCAATCGTGGCAAAATATTCAAGAACTTTACCTCCGCAAATATCTTGTGGCAATTGACCAACAAATTTGTTTTCGGATAGCTGTAGTATTATGAGAAATGTGAGGTTATTCATCTCTGTGGGAAGAAAGCCCCCCAAATTATTCGTAGAAAGATATAGCTCATTGAGGAATCGTAGTTTTCCAATCTCTTTTGGAATAGACCCTGACAACTCATTTTGGAAAAGGGCAAGAACACCCAGATTGCCCAAGTCACCTATAGAGGATGGGATAGGACCCGACAACTTATTGTTGTAAAGGTGAAGGTCAGATAGATTGGTCAAGTTGCCTATGGATGACGGGATAGGACCTGTTAAATCGTTGGATAGCAGTCGCAACGTTGTCAGGGATCTCATTCCTCCAACTTCCAAAGGTATGGGGCCAGAAAGTTGGTTTTCAAAGAGGTAAAGAATTGCCAAAGTACTCAGATTTCCTAGAGTTGTAGGGATGGATCCATTGAGATAATTGCCTGCTAAATTAAGTTGATAAAGAGACCCTAACAGTCCTATTTCCTTTGGAATGGACCCAGTGAATTGATTACTGCTAAGTATTATCTGCGACAAGCTGCTCATATTTCCAATGAAAGAAGGAATTGAATTGGTGAAATTATTACTCCAGAGCTCGAGAACTATTAAAGATCGCAATGACCCGAGTTGAGTTGGAATGTTTCCAGAAAGGTTATTTAGAGAAAAGTTAAGATGAGTGAGCTTGGAAAGATCACCGATGCTTGGAGGGATGTTCCCGTAGAGCTGGTTGTTGCCAAGCTGAAGATTGACCAAGTTGGGTAAATGGGAGAAATTGAGATGGTGAAGCGTACCGTGTATGGCAGAGTTCAAAAGGTTCAAGCTGGTGACACTCCCAAAAGGATCACAAACGATTCCGCGCCATGAACAAGGGTTGCTTCCGTACCACGAAGACAAAGTAGAGCGGCTCTCATTGTCTAGCTTAGATTTCCATTTTAGGAGTGCCTCCACTTCCATTTTAGAAGAGCTTCGTGTTGAAGCAAGACCAGACATTTCTTGCACGAGCATGAGAAGTACATACGCGAGGAACAACACTGAGAGTTGCTCTTTCTCGGAGGCCATGGCAGGTTTAGGTTATTTTCGGGTGGGCTTTCTTCTTTTCTAGGCGCATATGTGTTGAAATGAACAAGCACAACCCAGGTATTTATAGAAGAAATTGGGACTATCGAGTCAACAACCAAGTCAATTATCTTTTTAACTTTTATTTTGTTACGGCCATTATCCTCCGTTATATTTTCCGTGGCAATTCTTTGGGACAACACTGTGCATTTAAGTTATAAAAGTTACCGAGGCACTTGTGTTGCAAAAAGTTGCAGATAAACAACCCTTTTCAATGACATTAGATGATTGGCTTGCATTTCTCTTGATTAATTATGTGGTGTACGAAGCTGACTCTTTTTTTATTATTTGATTACACACCTAACTCTCAAGCACAAAAGTGACATGTCCATTGATTATTTGGTATATTCTCGTTTTACTCTGTCAGAAAAAAGCTTGGTAAAATTATCAGCTATAAAATCCATATATCCCCTAGTATGAATAATATGACCCTGAAGACGAAGGTCATAGTCAACACGCCAATTCAATTCCCTATCCCTCTTTTTGACCCATGTTGTCTTTCTTTTCTAGCCTTCAGTGACAGCGGTCCTTTACGTGACTCCACGTAGTATAACATAGAACGTGTTAGATCTCACTTTCGTTTACCATTTTTGGCCCTTTTTTTAATTTTCATATTTTTTTTTGGCGTAATTAGTTGCCCATTTTAATAAAATGTCAATCTAAATCGCTATTCCATCACCTTGTCCTTTGGATTTTGAATGATTTTCATGATCCGTATTACTGAATTTATCGGCCGATGCTCACAAATCCCCTTTTTTTATGCATTTTTTGAATCGAGTTTTTGCGGAATTAAATAAATTAAATTTTCATTTTGTTACAACCATTAACCCATCGTTATATTTTCGGTTAGTATCTGCAATGCACATCGTATATCTAACATGTGTGGCCCTTTATCTGCAAAGGCTTATTAGTCTCTTTTAGAGCAAGGACCGGGATGGAAGTCAGCTACACAAAAACATAATATTGCCGAAATACAATCTCAACCAGCATTAAAAAATGATTAATTAATTGCTAAAAAGCATGCAATGCAAGGAATGCACAACGAAGACCTATGTTCGATTTTATTTTTCTCTTTCGAAAATGCTGATGTTGTTTTGAGCTATATTTCTTCTCTGTTTTTACGTAGAAATCGTGATCGTAAATATGAAAGCCATCATCAAGAAAATTTTTCCGAAGGATCGTACGAGATCCGTCAAGGACGGGAGATGTGATGGAAGAAAAAGTGACAAAGTTGGCATCCCACTTGAAATGATAGTGATTTTGGAGAAGATTCCTCCACTCGGTGAAACACGGCATTGAACAAGACTGGACAAATTCCCCTGTACATGTAGCATGAAACACGAGTACAAAGCTATTAGAAAATGGTCGAAAAGTACATATAACATATCTTTGTATAAGAAGGGCGTTACCCTTTCTTTTTTCCGATATCCGGGTCTTTTGGTATCAATTATGTACATGGAGGGTGGTATTGTAAATTTATGAGTTCCAAATTGCTCAATAAATACGTATAAATATAAGTACACACCCGATAAAGAATTTTCCATTAGGGACCTGGGGATTCTGTTGATTGAGTTATTGGATATGGAAGTCAAGAGCATTATTAAAGGACTTTTCATATGCCTATGCACACAAGAAAAGTCCGAACTGCTTTAATTGATCCTACTTTCTGATGAAGTATTTCATAATGACTTGACGTGATTCTCTTCTCGATGTCTTACATAGCATGTCCAGCTTATCTCGACCATTGATCATGTGTGCTATTTAACGGGTATGGCTAAAAAGAGATGATATATAGAGAGATATATATATATATATATATATATATATATATATATATATATATATATATATATATATATATAATGATAAGTCAAGTCAATACATACGATGAGGGGTGCATCGAAAAGATCTCCACTTAAAAACTATCCCAGTGGAAGAGAAAACAATTGAACCATTAACTCAAAAGTTAATTGGCCAGCAAAGTTGGTTTGACCACCACATCTCATGAAGTAGCCACTTATCATGGCATATAGCCATGTGTAATTATTACATCGCGACCCGTTGACCAACATCTGACGACCAAAATATTTAATTCACTCATTCTCTCAAATACTAAGAAAGCAATTCAGGTAGGCTTCTTCTTCCTCGTTTAATACTTCCTAGTACACACTCTCTACTCCAATTACTTAGGCCTCGGAGGGCCGCCGATCCAGATAAAAAACCCCGACGCCATAACCCTTATTTGTGAAACCAGGTAGGTGGAAGCCCTGGCGAGTTCCACCGGACTCGCTGCCGGACACTATTAATTGTTTCAATGATCATGAGCTCCTCTTCTACTGGCCCAAAAAAGGATTGGGATGATCAACCACCATTAACCGTGCCATGAAGTGCTAAAATGCAATGGGACATCAGTTGTTGGTTACGATGAAACGACACCAAAGTTCTCCATAGCTAAAATCTAGAACACATTAATAGAGTAAAAGAGATTTGCGCACATGATTTGGAATCCATCGTTTTTAATGCGGAATAGCGACGATCCTCAGCGCAAGTCTTTTTTTCTACTACCCTCTGTATAACTGGCTTAATGAGACTGCCTCTCACGGATAGTGTTTGCTCATTATGTGAGATAATGTGTGTCAGGGTTAGAAGAGGGACTTGGGCTCTATTTATAGAGTTTTAAGCTAGGCCCTCTCATCATGGATCAGGCCTTACTCGACCCATACTAACCAGTCTCATATTAGACTATTTAAGAAACTTTATATCTTACTTTATTAGACCAATACCGTAAAACGGTAAATTACAATATCAATTAAAACTCTTACATCACTCGGTAGGCAAAATACTAAGCAACGACAGAGTCTCACTTGCGAGTACTTTTGAAGCACTCAATAGATTATACCATCTTTAATACTTCGTGGTCCTTTTCTTGACAAACCATCAAGGTGGTTGGTTTACTCGTACAGATGTCAACCTTCTTCCACGGAATCACGAGTTCCATTCATGTGTGAGCAAACTTCCGAACTATTCTTGCCGAGTTGCTTAACTGTGACCTATTTGGTGTGAAGAGACTTCTTGACTAGCATCGCTCGCCCCTCCCCAACTTTTTACTTATCAAACCAAAAAAGTCATTCTTAACAAACAACAACCACTCTCTCCACATATTTACACACACTCGCGTGCATGCACACACATTTAAATGGCCACAATTTACTTTTGCTTGTGGTCATGCCAACATGTAGATGAGACTTTCAAGATCTCTAATTTTTTCTAATAGGATGTATAGGTTTCAACTTAAGTTGGCAAAATATCATATGTATGGTAATAATCTGCAATTTCACTAAAAGATTTCGAGATTGCGAGTGAAATTAGAATATATTTATGGCAGTTGACCCATTGAATAATATTTTCTATACTGGCCAATCGAAGAGCAAGTTGGAAACCCGAGCAACCTTAAGCATGGAATTAGAATAAAACAATCAATAGACGTCTTTTCGAATTAAATTTCTCTTCTCTTCACCTAATTTAGTGTCGTGGACAGGAATTGTATGTGACTTCAATACGTCAATAGTTATGGAAAACATTTATAATAACAATGATAGCAAGGACAATAAATTAACAATAATGAGAATAAGGAAATGGCCAAATTACTCACGAGGATTTTCTCTCCATAACCCCCACAATTTATGCTATTACTATGATATTCCCAATTTTTTTCTCAAAAAAGAGAAAAAAAGCTTTGAGTTAGATTACCTACTTCATTTTGTTTTCCAAATTAGAACTTCTTTTTCCTTTGCTTTTATTACTCAAATTTCTTGCTGGCTCTGCATTAATCAAAAGAAAAGCTTCGTTTTTTTCAGACTCCCATCCCTCTCGCTCTCATCAGATGACTTGAATAGTAAACCAACGATCATCAACAAAGAAATATATACTTCTCGGGAGTTGTCAACGCTTGCGAGACCTTTGCAAAGAATTGTTAGTCTTTTTTAGAGGAGGGACTGGGACGTAAGTTAACAATACGAAAACTTATAGAATGAAGGTGGTGCGCTTGAATCCCTTGACTACGGCGCTATTGAATGGTATGGAATTAGACAAGGGATTTCTAGAGGAGGAAATGATCCTGACCTAACCTATAATGCTGGCATGATGATTATAGGACAACTCTTGTCTTTTTTAGAGGAAGGACCGGAATGTAAGTCAGCAAAGCGAAAACTTATAAAATGAAAGTGGTGCACTTGAATCCCTTGACTATGGTGCTATGGAATTAGACAAGCGACTTCTAGAGGAGGAAGTGATCCTGACCTAACCTTTAATGCTCTCATAATGATTATAGGGCAACTCTCGTCCAAGCACCCCAGGTTAGTGATTTGGGAGAAGATTCTTCCGCTCGGTGAAACACGGCATAGAAGAAGACAAATCAAATTCCCAATGTGCATGGACACTTGATGTCAATGAAGGACTAAACCATCTATCCACTGTCTATTCCAAATTACTCACAATGACTTTTACTCCATAGGTTAAACCAACAAGAGATAAATCCTTTTTTTCCTACAATTTAAAGCTATCGAAAAATCGTCGAACAGTACATATAATATATATGCTCTGCTTCGCGTGTAAGTAGGGCATTACATGTGCAATACGAGATGCAGATATAACCACGTCAAATGCATAACGACCGGTAGGAGAACTAACAAAACGGAAAGAGTAGGAGATGTAATAAGGAGTGTCGAAGTCCTCAACTGTGATCTTTAGTTTGTTGTGAAATGTTGGATTAGATAAAAATTTTATTTTAAAAGGTTAAACTGTTTGGAAATGGATGGATAATGAATATATGACGTATTACATAATAACTTAAAGGGGCACGGATGACAGTGATCATTAATCTTGAAAAGAATAAAGTGGAAAAGAGAATTTCTGTATATTTCTATTTGTCCAATACTGATGATGCATGAGCCTATTTATAGGCTATTCTAGATAACT